ATAGCATACATTATACGAAGTTATACGACATCCTGGTGGCTGGAACCGCCGCAGGCTTCCTGGTGCCGCTCTTGCTGCTGCTGGTGATCCAGGCAGTGTCAGTGAGCGCGGCCGAGCGCTCCCACGAGGGCAAGGTACGTGCGGCCGAGCGCAGGCGCCGGGATACGGGGCTGTGGGTAATCACCTTGCACCTCCGAGACCTCGGCACTTTCTCCACTGCCCTTGGCCCTGAGGACCTGCCCCTCCCCGTGGTGCCTCATTACTCCTTCCAGCTCTTAAGGTGCAGCTCCAATCTCGCCTTTTGCTGGCGCTCGGTGTTCACTCTCCCTCCTGGGCGCAGGGCATCAAGAGCCTACTGTGTGCTAGGCCGCCTGTGTTATTTTGAGGGATGGGCACAGAGGTGAGTAAGGCTCCATCCTGCACTTGTGTTGATAAGAAACCTGAAATAAGATCACACCCGCCAGATGCCCGTGAACACTCTGAGAGAGGGGCCGGTGATAAGTTGTGTAGCACAGACTACACAAGGAATTGAGAGTTCAGGGACACCACAGCACTGTAGAGTAGAACATGCCACTTAGAGGTTATGGAGGGGCAGAAGACAGAGGGGAAGGCATTGCAGGTGAGGGGCACACCTTTGCAAAAAAGCAGGGATGCCTGAAAGTCTGTGGAATGTTGATAGGATGGTGAAGAAGCAATTCTTACTGGAGCAGAAGGTGGCATGGGCAATCAGTTTGACTGCTTGGCGTTGGCCACATTAAAAATGCCCAGAACGTCAAGTGAAGAACTGAGTCGTGATGCAGTGAAAACCTGGGAGCCATGGTAGGATTTTCTGAGGTCAGGAATATTGAGGAATAATTTACACACAGTAAAATTCACCCTTTTTTTCTCTCTCTCTCTTTCTTTCTTTCTTTCTTTCTTTTTTTTCTTCTTTTTTAAAAAGATGACCGGTAAGGGGATCTTAACCCTTGACTTGGTGTTGTCAGCACTTCTCTCTCTCTTTCTTTCTTTCTTTCTTTTTTTTCTTCTTCTTTTTTAAAAAGATGGCCGGTAAGGGGATCTTAACCCTTGACTTGGTGTTGTCAGCACCACGCTCTCCCAGTGAGCTAACCGGCCATCCCTATATAGGGATCTGAACCGTGGCCTTGGTGTTATAAGCACCACACTCTCCCGAGTGAGCCATGGGCCGGCCCTAAAATTCACCCTTTTTTAGTGTACAGTTAGGAGTTTTGACAAATGGATACAGTCCTACAATCACCACCATAATCACGATTTAGAACAGTTCCATCACCCCGGAAAATTCCCTCTTGGTCTTTTATAGTCAATTTCTTCTCTCTACCTGTAGCCCCTAGCAACCACTGATCTGATTTCTCTCTTTACAGTATTTCCTTTTCCAGGATTTCATGTAAGTGGAATCATTGCCTTTTGAGTCTGGCTTCTCCACTTAGCATAATGAATTTGAGATTCACTCATGTTGTTGCTCCTATTAGTAGTTTATTCCTTTTTATTGCTGTGCAGCATCACATTGTATGGATGTACCACAGATTATTTATCCATTCACCAGTCAAAAGATGTTCGTGTTGTTTCTATTTTTTGGCAATTATAAATAAAGCCTCTGTAAACATTGGTGTACAAGCATGTGACCATAAGTTTGCATTTCTCTTGGGTAAATACCTAAGAGTGGCATTGCTGGGGCATATGGTAACTGTATGCTTTATTTTATAAGAAACTGCCAAACTGTCTTCCAGAATAGCTGTACCATTTTGCATTCCCACCAGCAATGTGTGAGAATTCCAGTTGCTGTGCATCCTAACCAACATTTGATATTGTCAGGTTTTTTTTGTTGTTGTTGTTCATTTTTTAAAATTTTCCTCTTTTTTTATTTTTTTTGGTGACTGCTATGGGGATCCAAACTTGTGACCTCAGTGTTATAAGGCTGCACTCTAGCCGACTGAAAACTGGCCAGACTTATTTTTTTATTTTTTTATTTTAGACATCTAATAAATGTGTAGTGGTATCTCTTTGTGGGTTCAATTTGTATTTTTCTAATGACTAATGATGTTGTGCATCTTTTCATGTTCTTATTTGCCATCTGTATATTTTTGGTGAAGTGTCTGTTCCAATCTTTTGCCCATTCAAAAAAGTTGGGGTTTTTTTTGTTTGAGGGTTTTTCTTTCTTTCTTTTTTATTTTTTTGGTGGCTGGCCAGTATGGGGATTCAAACCCCTGACCTTGGTGTTATAAGGCTGTGTTCCAACCAACTAAGCAAACCGGCCAGCCAGAATTTTTAAATTTTGATCAAGTATAATTTATCAATTTTTTTCTTTTTTGGGTCATGCTTTTGGTGTCATAATTAACAATCTTTGCCTAATGCAGGGTCACAAAGATTCATTCATGTGTTTTTCTGTAGAAGTTTTATAGTTTTAGTTTTATGTTTAGTTCTGTGATTCATTTTTGGTTAAATTTTGTATGTGGTGTAAGGTTGGTCAAGATTTATTTTTTTGCATGTGGGTTGTTCCCGCACCATTTCTTGAAAAGGCTATTCTTCCACTGAGTTGCCTTTGCACATTTGTAAAAAATCAGTTGACCATATATAAGTGAATGTATCTCTAGACTCTATTTTTTTACCAGTACCATACTGTTATGATTAGTGTTTCTTTACAGTAAGTCTTGAAATCAGGTAATGTGGATTCTTTAATTTTGTTCTTTTTAAAACTACTTTTGACTATTCTAGTTCCTTGGATTTTCCATATAAATTTTAGAATAAGTTTGTCAATTTCTACAAAAAATCTGATGGAATTTTCATTGGGATTGCTTTGAACCTATAGGTCTGTCTGGGAAAATTGATATTTTAACAAGGTTGAGTTTTTGAACCCATGAACATGGTATACCTCTCCATTTACTTAGAATGTCTTTCATCATTATTTTCAGTATATAGATCTTACATCTACCTTGTTAGATTTATTTCTAAATATTTCACACTTTCTGATGCTATTGTAAATGTGTTTTTTATTTTTATTTTTATTTTTTTTTAAAAGATGACCGTTAAGGGGATCTTAACCCTTGACTTGGTGTTGTCAGCACCACGCTCAGCCAGTGAGCGAACCGGCCATCCCTATATGGGATCCGAACCCAGGGCCTTGGTGTTATCAGCACCGCACTCTCCCGAGTGAGCCACGGGCCGGCCCGTAAATGTGTTTTTTAAATTTCAATTTGTGTTCGTTCATTATTATAAGAAAATACAATGGATTTTTGTATATTCATCTTGAGTCCTGCAATTTTGCTAGACTCACTTATTAGTTTAATAGCTTTTTTTGTTGATTTTACATAGAAAAATGTCATCTGTGAATAAGGACAGTTTCATTTCTTCCTTTTCAATATGTATGGGTTTATTTCTTTTTCTTTTTCTCTTCTTATTGCACTGTCTTGGACCCCCAGCACAGTGCTGAGTAGGAGTGGTAAGAGTGAACATCCTTGCCATGGGATTCCTTTAGCAGGACAATGACTTGTCTAAAGGCTATTTTAGGAAGACTGGTGGGCAGCATTGACAAGAGAGGGGCTTCAGACATTGAGACAGCTGAAAGGTCAGAAGAGCCCTCTCTGCCTACCCCCCACCCCATCCTTTCAGTCACCATTCAATTACTCCACCATGCCCATATTTGCTTCCCCTCCCTCCTGTGACTCCTCTGCTCAGCCCTTACTCATCAGCCCCCTGTGGTCTACATGGCTTCTCTCTCCAGCCTCTCTTGGGCAGCACTCTCCCTTCCCATATCCTGTGGTTTTTCCAACCCCATGTCAGGTCATAGACCTGCCCTCCCTCTTCTGCCTAGAATGAGGCCCACCCAATGTAGTATCTGCAGCCTCAAGGGACCTAAACGAGGTCTGTACTCTGTGATTCACCAGACAGGGCCCTTTTCCATTACCTCCGGGACCCATCTCAAGCATTGTTCACATGCTCCCACTTCCATTCCCCTCTACCTCCATCCTCTGCCCCACCTCCCCCTGGGGTCACTAGCTTAGTGGCTGATAGCAAGGGCTCTAGAGCCAGACCATATAGTTTCAAGTTACAGCCCCACAACATACCAGCAGGGAGATCTTGGGTCAGTTACTTAGCCACCTGGTGACTCTGTTGCCTCATCTGTGAAAGTGGGCAGCATGGGTTAGTTTATGTAAGATGCATAGAATAGTGGCCATTATAAGTAAGTGCCCTAAACGTTGTTGTGGTTACCATTCCCTCCCAACATTTACATATGTTCATGTGTTTCTCATCTTAAATGCAAGGCAAAACCCTCTCTTAACGTCACAGGTCTCCACTCCACCTGTTGTACTGTCCTCTCCAGAACAGCCCTATGTCCTGAAAGAGTTGGCTGTGCTCACTAGCTCTGTTCCTCATTTTCCTCAGCCCACTTCAGCCCAGCCCCTGTCCTCTCTGTCACACTGATGCTGCGCTCACCAACTGGCCAAAGCCAACAGACAGTCCTCAGACGACTCTTTCTGAACTGTACATGGCTCCTCTGAAACTGAATGCACCTGAAGCGGCCCCTCCTCACCTCTCAGGGCACAGCTGTCTGTGCTTCCTGGGTGCTGACCCTCTGCCTGTACCTTGGCGTCTTGGCCAGCCACCTGCTGTCCTCACTCGACCCCCTCTCTGTGCTGCCCTGGCCATTCCCCACACCACTTTGGGCCCTGTGTTGCAGCTGCCTTCTCTGCCTTGTAAGTTAAGGCTGGCCGTGTTGTTTGCAGTGTATCCTCAATCCCCAGCATGGTGCCTGGAACATTCTTGAGGCCCTCAAATACTTTTGAATGAATACGTGAACCAACAAGCAAATGAATCGATAGCACTTTGGAAGAGAAGGAAAAAAAGAGAGAGAGAAGCCCAATGCCCTGATCCCTGCAGGAGAAGGGGGAGAGGAGAGACAGCAGGGAGCTGGGAAGGAGATGAAGCAAGAAGATGAACTTTGGCTTTGGTCCCGTGGAGTGTGAGGGCATTTGAGATGCAGAATTAGAGCAGGCGCCCCAGGTCTGGGTGCAGTAGCGAGGACAGTCTGAGTGCTTCGGAGCTGTTGGATTCCACTTGTGTCTGAGAGGGGTCTGTGTGGGGAGAGGAAGGTACTCAAATTGATTGGTCAGGTCTTATGAATTTTTTAAAACAATTTTCATTCCTTTAAGTATTTTCTATATCTTATAGACAATCAACCCTTTTCTATACTTCATATACATCTAATAAATCAAAATTTATTTCTCTAAATTTAAAATTCTGAAAATTTAATCAAACTCTTAAAAACACTTAATTAAAATCATTAGTAGAATTTTTCTATACTTCATATACATCTAATAAATCAAAATTTATTTCTCTAGATTTAAAATTCTGAAAATTTAATCAAACTCTTAAAAACACTTAATTAAAATCATTAGTAGAATACCAATTTCTCTTAAATGTTCTAAACACCTTAAAGCAGACAGAACCTCAAATAGCACAATTGTTAGTGTTGCTTTTTGGCAACAGTGGGACATTCCGGAGCTGTTCTGACTTTGCCTTCCTGAGGTGTCAGATGCTCTGCAGGGAGTCCTGGTTCCTTTTGGTGTTGAAGGTCTAAGTCTTTGTGACAGGGGAGCTGGTGGTGAGCAGAGGTGCTGCCGGACCACTTTCAGTTGTGACAAAGCATTTGATAGCTAAGGCTTTTGAAGTTGGAGTGCGGCTTGGCCTGCCCTGGGGAGGAAAAGAGGAGGCTCAGGAGGGGAGCGAGGCAGATGGGTGGAGGGGGAGGTGGAGACGAAAGGAGGAGAACCTGGTCAAGAGTGTCCAGGGAGGACTTGACCTTTGGGCTTTATCTCCCACTCCCCTGGAAGGAGTGCTGAGACCTCCAACGCCCAGTAAATACTCCGCCTCCCTTCTGCAGCTGCCCTGGGTGCGCGTGTCTGTCCTGGGGATGTGGCGGAGCTTTGAGGGGCTGGGACAGAGACCTGGGAGGGAAGAGCCAGAAGTGTTCAAGGCCTTCAGCCCACATTTTCCTGGGCATGTGATTTTGATTAGGAAGATATGATTGTACCCCCATACACTGCCCTTCCATACAGTGAAATTCAGTGAAGGCACAAGTTGAGGAAAAAAAGGGAGGTGGGAAAGTGGAGAAGTGGTAGGGGGTGGTAGAACAGTCTTCAGAGTCGTTTAGCAGCAAAAAGAAGATCTGAAAGTGTATCTGGAAGGAGGTAGCAGGAGGATGTGTGTGGCCAATGGAGACAGAGCAGGGGAGCATGCTGCAAAGATGGGGACAAGGTGATAGGAGATTTCTGAGAAGGCAGGAGAGGTGAGTATAGTGTCAGCATTTCTCTGGAAGAGCTACTTAGAAGTGGGTTGAGAGAGGCTGCTCCAGCTGGGAGCCCAGGAAGGGAAAAGGCCTCAGCTCACTCTTCCTTGCCCTTGGAGTCTTGCTGCAGCCTTTGGCTGGGCCCTGGAAGAGCTGACTGGCTCAGGGAGGGTCAGTGGGGGATGACCTGCCCAGTCCTGCTGGTTCTGAGATCCTCTTCCTGTTCCCGTCCCCATCCAGTGCACATACCTTCAGAGATACAACCCCTTCGACCAGGGCTGTGCCCACAACTGGTACTTAACAATTTGTGCACCGCTGGGACCCAAGTGAGTTGGCAAGCCAGAGGCCCAAGTGGTGGACTGTGGGGCTGGTGGGGTGGGGTGAAACTGGGTCTTCTCCCTGGCCCCTTACCACAACTCCCATGCCCTTACACTCACTGTTCCTGTTCCTTTGGGGTTTTCTCCAGGACACTGTGGGAGTCCATTGGGGCATCTCCACTTCCTTGCCTCTGTGGGTTCTTGCCCAAGAAATGGGGTAGAGGTGCACTGCAGCCTGGATGAGACTGGCCTCAGCTCCGAGACCTGAGCTGTGTGCTCCCCAAGCTGAGGGGGGAAGGGGGACCAAGCCAGGGAGGGCAGTGACCTCTTGCGTCTGGCCTGTTGCTCTCCAGGTACATGTCTGAAGCTATCTGGCTGCAGAGTATGGTGGGACCTGAATGGGTGCCCATGCCGAGCCTGCACTCCCCGACCTGCCCCTCTGCTCTCAGTGCCCCACCCCTCCCTGGCCCCCAGCCCCAACCTCTGGGTGTCTACAAGCCAGGGAAGGGTCCCCCAGGGAGTGGTGAGGCTGCAGCTCTCCAGGAGGTAAAAAGAGTGTGTGCGTATGTGTGTGTGCATGTGCACGCATATGTTGGGAGAGGGTGTCTGTGGGCTGTACAGGTGTTGGGAGAAGCCCCTGATGTTGGGCTGGCTCTGAAACTGGAGCATTCAGAGCTTGGGGAAGTGGGTTATAGACCTGAAGGGGTGTTGAAAGTAGGGTCACAGACCCCCGGAATACTTCCAGGAGTCCCTGGAGATACAAAGAGAAAAGACTACACCACTAACTTGCAGGTTGGCCTTAGGCCAGTCACTTACCCTTTTTTGGCCTCAGTTTCCCCAGCTATTAAAGAGGACTGAGACTAGTGAAGTGATTTATAACGTTCTGGGGAGGATGCCTTTATTTGAAGGAGATTTTTACTGGAAGCCCCATATGAAACATATGGAAGTGGAACGTTAGGAGCGAAGTGGGGGTGGGTAACCCACAGCCCCCCTTACCCCCCCCCCAGGGCGCTTCAGTGACATTCTGTGGTGCCAGCTCACTCCCTTTGCCCTGCCTCGAGAGAGACAAGGGGCTAGGGGAGAGCCTCCACACTCCCTCTCTGTGTTTAGCTCCACGCCGGCCCAGTGCTGCCCCTGCGGCGGGAGGCCCCCAGACGAGGCTCGGCCTTTCTCTCTCCCCTTCGCACCCGGCGATGCCAGGAGCACCTGTCCCTGAACCTCACCCCCTGAGCCCCGCGTGGAGGCCTCTCTGTGCCCGGTCCTTGCCCACTCCCCTGGCGGGAGTGCCGAGACCTCCAACGCCCAATAAATACTCCGCCTCCCTTCTGCAGCTGCCCTGGGTGCGCGTGTCTGTCCTGGGGATGTGGCGGAGCTTTGAGGGGCTGGGACAGAGACCTGGGAGGGAAGAGCCAGAATCCCTGGAGACCTGAGCTCAAGACCCAGCACACCTGGCCCTGTGACGTTGGGCAAGGCACTTAACATATCTCTCATCTTTCAAATGGGGCAACAGTAATGACTGCAGTGGCCGATCTGGCCCACCTCCTGGCAGGTGCTGGAGATGGTGGAAGACAAAACCCACCAATGTCAGGAAGTCAGCGCTGGAGAAAGACCCCGCTCCGCCCTGCCACGCCCCCGTCTGGCTGCAGGGGGCGCCCGCTGCCTGGGAATTCGCCAAGCCCTGCTGCACCGGAGCCTCCTGAGTGGGTTGGGCTGGCCCTCAGCCTGGGAGCGGGCTCCCCCTCCTGGTCGCCTCAACCGGGGAAGTGGTGGGGTGGGGGTGTTCATCACAGTCCAGCCCTGCGTACGAGAGAGCCATCTCTTACCCTGGTCCCTCGCTCCGGTTTGGGAGTCAGATGCTAATTCTGGTCCTTTCCCTAGGGTGGTTCCATGCCCGGTGAGTCTGCGGGCCAAGAGGGGGCTAGAGCACGTGGAACTGGCTCTGCTAGTGGCCAAGAGTGTGACCTTGGGACTGGGAATAATGTCACCTTCCTGGAAGGTTGTCAGAAGTTGAAGTGTTTCATGCAAAACACGTGGTACACGGTTGGAACGCAATGAATGCAGCCTGTAGGATCATGCTTATTTTCTCAGCCATACAGCTGACAGACAACCCAGTGTTTCTCCAAGGACCACCAGCTCAGAATTACCTGGGCCCCCAGACCACTGACACAGAACCTCAGGGTGGGGGGAGGGCAGGAATCTTAATTTTTATCAAGTGCCTCATATGATTCTGCACCCTGAAGTGTCAGGATGGGCACTAACCACATTGTTTGCTTCCTGCCACCCTGTATCCAGGTGAAATCAGGGTGTGTGATGAAGATGAAGAGGGAAGGATGTCACCACAGGGTTCAGAGGAACACTCCCTCAGGGCCTATGGAGGTGTTCATGTCTGTGTGTGCACACACGTTCTTGTGTGTTGGGGTATGAGCTCATCCTTGGGGGTGTCAGGCCAGCCCCTTCTTTCCGCCCAGTCTCTGGAGGTGGGTGACCTATGATGCAGGACGTCTCCAGATTGCTAGACCACTCAGTCCCACCACAGGGCTGCTCTTCCCCCCTTCTCCCACCCCCAGCTGTCCCTGTAGGCCTCAAGCCCTCCGCTGACCTCTCTAGGCTCCCGGCTGGCCCTTTGTTCAACCCCAGGGTGTCCAACTCTTTCTCACTCCCCTTCGTCCTGTCTCAGTGTCTCCCAGTCCCAAGCCTCTTCGGAGTTCATGCCTTTTCTCAACTCTTATCCCTGCTTAACTCAGGAACCCTTGGGTTTTGGGTGGGGGTACTTGTTGGCATATGAAAAGGTAGCCCAGCTTTTCCTTGCTGTAAATGGCTTTGGGGGGCACATTTAAAGTTCTTAGGACCCACATTTAAGCGTAAAGCTGAAGCATCCTCCCTCTGTCTAGAAGCCCACAGTTTATGGTTGCATGAAAGGAAAGGAAGGGAGGAGTCCTTTGAGCCCCCGTGCCCGGGTGTGTGTGCTGCGTGAACCTATGTGTCTCCTGCCTGCATGTATGCAGGAGGGCACAGCTCTGCCCAGGTTGCCCAGCAGTGAAGAGGTAGCCATGTGGCTCTCAGGCCCACCCCCAAATGAAAGTCCTCAGGTAGCCTGGGCCTGGATCAGAGAGGAAGGGGCTCCAGGAACCTGGGCCCAGGCCTGCAGGTGAATCACGGAACTGGCTGGGTTGGGGAGTGGTGCCTGCCTGGAGTTCCAGCTCTGCAGGCGCCTGACTTTCTCAGTATCTGGGGAGTCCCAGCCCTGCCAGCTGACCCTCTGCTGCTCTGCCTGGTTCAGGATTGCACTTACCAGGTCCCTGCCTCCAGGTGTACAGGACACTCATTCAGTCTCAAGCAGGGGCCTTCCAATCCCCTGAGCCAGGTGTGAGCCATCTCCCCTGATACTCTGGGCCTCAGTTTCCCCATTGGGCTAGGACATACTTTTCCTCAGATTCTCAAAGGAGGCCATGACCCTTCCAAAGGCAATGACTTCTCGCTCTGGGATGTAGATTCTGGGTCTCTCTGTTCCCTCCCATCTTGGGATTTCTAGATTTTCTTCAGGAAAGTCCCTCGGATCAGGCTCCTCTGCTCCTTGAGGGTTAAGTGAGACCTAGCCTTGGGCCCCCTCACGGGTTCTTTCCTTCCAGGCTGGGAGGCCTCAGTTGATCTGCACCCACCTTCCCCGCCCCCTCCTTGTTTCTGCTGAGCCTGCCCTTGATTCTCAGATGCACCCCACCTAGTTCTTGGCCCACTGATAAAGTGAGGGGTGTTATCAGAGCCCAGTTATGGGGCCTGCTGTCCATATACCCAGGAAGCCCTGCCATCCCTGCCTTCCCTGGGGCCAGAGCCAAGGAGTGACCCCCAAGCCTGCAGGGCCACCAGGTGCCCAGGTATCCGGAGCCCCTCTGAGAGGTCCCTAGCCGGCTCCTAGAACCTGATGGAGGGGGTTGGACACTGGGATGGGAGCCTGGAAGCAGTCATCTCCACACTTTCCCTCCATGGTCCTTCTGGAAGGTCAGGACATGTGGAGCAAGACTCCCAGCCCAGCTGCTCGGCTCTGCTACCAACTAGTGTGCTGTGGGAGAAGTTACTTCCCTCTGCTCAGCCTCAAGGTCCTCATCTGTGGAAGGACTGCTAATCATAGCTACCTAACCAGGGGTCACGGGATCCTAATGCTAGCATGGGAAGGGACTCAGGGGCCACCACATCCAGCTGCCCCTCCACCCCCAGTTTCACAGGTGGGGACTCTGGGGCCCAGAGAGGAAGAGTGCAGCCTTATAACACTAAGGTCATGGGTTCAGATCCCCATACTGGCCAGCCGCCAAAAAAGAAAGGAACAAAAAGAGGGAAGTGGTTGCCTAAGATGACATGGTGGCAGTAAGTCTGGTGGCTCTCTGCAGTACCCAGGCTGCTGCTCCCATTCCTGCTTGTGGGCCATTCCAGAGGAGGAAGGACTTGGGCAGTGACCACAGGGACCTGCTCTCCAGGCCCCATGCCTCAGAACTGGGCAGTGCCTCTCAGCACAGGGCCTGGGAAGCTGATAAGGTCAAGCTTAACTCTACCTCCAGCCCTGTGCTGAGGTGATAATGACTCCCCACTGCCTCTGCTCAGCCTGCCCTGCCCTGCTCTGACCGCCCCACCCCAGGGGGCCTGCAGGTGGCTGAGGGTGGGGCAGGGCAGAGATAGATGGGGACAGGGGAGAGATCCAAAGCCAGAATCCTGATACCTCCCAGGGCCCAGACACCTTGCCGGCTGACTCTCATGGACACCTAGGCACATCTGTTTAGTTCTGAGCATGCAGAGAGTGGCAGGAGGAAAGTAGCCGAGGGGCTGAAGGTTTGCCAGAGCCCTTGGACTGGGTAACAGAACCCTGACTGAGCACTGCCTGTGCCAAGGCCTAAGTGCTTCTACTATCCCCTTAATCCTCACAACTACCCTTTGAAGTTGTTATTCTAGTTTTAGAGGAAACCAGCACTGAGCAAACAGGTTACTTCCCCAAGGTCATGCTGCTTCTAAGAGGCAGAGCCAAAATCCATGTGGCCCTTTACCATTACACGATGCTGCACCGGGTAGTTTCCATATTTTATTTCACTATAGAGAGAAGATGTGGGCTCTGAAGCCAGACTGCCTGGTTTCTTCTTCGTCAGGTGACATTGAGGATTGTACTTCATAGCGTTGTTATGAGGACTGGTTCTGCAGTACACGTGAAAGCTTGGCACAGGCACTGGCACATGGCAGGACCGTAATCGAGGGTAGAGACGATCCATATCATCAGAGGGTTGCAGAAGTCAGGACTTGGTGGTCTGCTCAGGGTCTCAGGATGCCAGCTTCCCTGACAACAGAGGCCTGCTCCTGCCCAGATTGTTGTGGCTGCCCTTGTGGCTGGGCAGCTACAGTGAAGGGTGCTGCTTCATAGGAGAGTTTTGTATTATTGTTTTGAGGAAAATCAAACTTCACGTCTCCAGGCCAAAGGGGTTGGGGGGCAGGGGCTGAGGTTCTGCAAGAGAGCCGTAAGATGACCCCCCCAACAATGGCTCTGCCTTCCTGTTAAGAAAGCAGCTGTTCCTTCTGTCTTGTGGCAGGCCGGGCGTCTCCGACGGAGGGAAGTCAGAAGCAGCGGTGGCTCTGGCTCCTCCGCCTGGCTCTGGCTCGGTCCTCTCCTGCAGCCGCTTCTGCCCCAGGTTGTCTCCGCGTCCCCGCCTCACCTCTTCTGCCTTTCCATTCTCTCTCCCCTCTTCCCGCTTGCTCTTCCTCCTCCTCCTCCTCCCACTTTCTTTTATCAAACATGCATGCTGTCTCTTGCTCTATCTCCTCCACTTTTCCTGGACTGCAGCTTCCAGGAGCACAAACCGTCTGATTTTCCAGTAATAACGCCTGTGGTTCTTGGAAGCCCTGCCCTGGGTGTGGAAGCACGGCGCGGGCAGCCGGGCCAGCGCGGGCCGCACAGGGGCACAGGGCGTCTGTCTGCCTCGCACAGGCCTCCCGCCTCCCGCGGGCCGCCTGCGTACCCGGCTGCCTTCGGCGTGGGGCAGCTCTGCTGCTGAGATGGGAGATTCCCAAACTGGAAGGGGCCCTCTTGAAAACCTTGCCGCCTCCCTCATTTCTCAGTGAGAAGAAAACCACGGCGGCGGGGGGAGGTTAGGCGGGTTTTCCCCCAGAATCCCACAGCCAGTGAGAGGCCAGGCCGAGGCCAGGCGCAGACCTCCTTCCTGCCTTCTTGGCCCGGTGCCCTTCTCGCCACCCCACGG